AGCAAGCACCTGCAATAGGGATTGGCTTGCCGCCTTAGTAGACACGTATCCTTGAATACGAGTGGCCAGCTATTGCTACTCTTGGAAATTGATACGTAAATATCTTTTTTTTGTATCTGTACATATTTATGAGATGATGTATTTAACTGTGTACATTGTTCGAACTGTAGTCCTCATCTTTATGTCAGATTCTCGATGTTTCGAAAAAGGCATGGTACGTGGAACTGGAATAACTTAGCTCGTGGTTCCGGTTCGAAATTCCAACGTATATCACCTGAAGAAGGTCGGGGCGTACAATGGCTGAAACATCGTGAATATGACAATAAAGATGAAGACAACTGTCCAAACAATGTAAATAGTGTAAGTGTTGTATTCGGGCTTGTCGCAGAGTTGGATACGTAAACAAGTTCCAAATTTTATCAATCGAAAAGACAGTTAAACAGAATTATATTCGATCTCTATTAGGCAAATAGTTCTATATTCGATTAAGATACTGACATCATTGGATCTCTGTTTAATGGTTGTTTATAAAAAATAAAACTAATTTCTTGGATATTTTTCTGACCACGGTCGTAGATTACAAGATTGCTACAACGGTATGAAGACTACAATAGAGTAGCAGGGCAAACGAAGGCTTTACTCCTTTAATCACACTGTGTCGCCAATGACAAGACATGTTCAGATTAGAGTAATATGTTCTTTTCAGATGAACAGTCGTTGTACAATGAGGTATTAAAGATAAGTGAGAAAGGAAAAAATATTTAAAATTACAATAGGGAATGCTTTCTAAGCCCGGAAGATTTTGAAAAACATATTTATTTACGTTCTATCTATCTATCTATGACGATTTTAGTCTGTTCGCGTCTTTCTATGTATCTATGTATTTGTGTCTGTTCCTTCCTATCTATCTATCTATCTATCTATCTATCTATCTATCTATCTATCTATCTATCTATCTATCTATCTATCTCAGTATTTTACCATCCATCAATCTATTTATATACATATGTCTATATCTGTCGATTTCAGTCTGTTTCCATCTTTCTCTCTCTCTTTCCCTGTCTGTCTGTCTGTCTGTCCCCTCTCTCTCTATCTATCTATATATATATATGTCGATTTCAATCTGTTACCCTCTATCTATCTATTTCAGTCTGTTACCATCTATCAATCTATATATATATATATGTCGATTTCAGTCTTTTTCCATACATCCATCTCTCTCTCTGTCTCTTTCTCTCTCTCTCTCTCTCTATATATATATATATATATATGTGTGTGTGTGTGTATATCGATTTCAGTCTATTATCATCTATATCTATCTCTCTCTCTCTCTCTCTCTATATATATATATATATATATATATATATATATATATATATATATATGTATAAATGTCGGATTCAGTCGGTTTTCATGTATTTATCTATGTATAACTGATATGCCGCTATATACTTCTGCTCGTGTCTCAATTGCATTCCACACAATATACTTGTGTAATAGAATGGAAAGGCGAATTACAGATGTCTACTTCACATTATTCCTAATGAAACAAGAGTAATCCAAACTTTATCGAATCAGTGGCCACTAAGGTCGTAAGTTTTTCGATGCTGACTGTAAAGTGCTCACATATTCCACATTTATCACTAATGGACTTTTACGTGAAACCGCCTATTATTTCAACGATACAAATGCATTTGGCTAAACAGTAATGCATTCACTTGTGCATATGTATCAATCCACAACAGAGAGAAGAAGAGAATACTTATACTGGAATGTTGTGTATGTATTTGTCTATCAGAACAAATGTTGGGTGTGGTGGGTTGTGAGCGCCTAGGTCTACTGAAGGTCTTCTTGAACATGTAAATATTTAATCAAATATAACTTCCGGTATTAGGGGTTCTGAAGAAACGAGGTTCTTTTGTAAATGCTGCATCAATATAATTCAATGCTGTTCGTATTTATAGGTAATTTATTATAGAAATAAATTATATTATAGGATTATAATATACTAATAAATAAATTATATTAATAAATTATAGAAAATAAATTATATATTTTATAGAAATTAAATTAACATAAACTAACAAGAATTAACATAAACTAACATAAATATAGTTGAATCGTTTTGATTCTGCGGCTTTTCTGTTTCAACGCAATCATAATGTAATAATCATATTGTAATATATAATTATGTATGTAATATGTAATAATATATAACAATAATATGTAATCATGATATAATATTAATAATCAAAGTTAATCGCACGTAGAGCTGATCACTCGTATTCAAGGATACGTGTCTACTAGAGCGGCTAGCCAACCTTTATTGCAGACGCTTGCTCAGGCATTTGTGTTTATTCAACACCCACAGAGCCCACTTGTGGTTTATACTGCAACTATGCTGAGCAGATCTTAGTTACTGTTTCTGGGAAAGAGCGTGTTCTTTAGCGCAATCAACAATTTGAACAAGGCCAGCACGTTCAAGCCCTCGGCCACGATGACTTGTGACTTCGTGCTAGCACAGCTATCGACGGCCTCCAAGTGATCCATCTTCCCAATTTCACTCACAAGGCTTGGTTAACCCGTGGTATGGTTTTCAGGCATTTTCAAAAGTTGCCGCACACTGAGAACGGCCCCTCCAGTCCGATAGTATCAAGGAGTCTCTTTCCTGACAAATCGACCATGGTGAGATTCGAACCAGGGTCTCATGGTCAGATTGCACGTATAGAAAATAAATTAGCATAAATATAGTGTAGTGCTCGGTTGATTCTCTGGCAGGTATGTAATCTACTGATGCGTACAGACGGGGCCTTATTAAACTTGTCTAAGTGCTATGGAGTATTTTATTACCTACCAAAATATCCAAACTACTCGTAATTCCTAGTTGGTAACATTTTTTTGCACCCTTTCATTAATATCCTGATTCAATGGGGATGTGCAGCACGCAGTGTGGCGCAGTTATAGCTCAGTTGGCGTTGGAGGCAGACTGTTAGGTGACTATCTATTTTCGGAAATCCAAGGTGACTAAGGCGGGGTTAATAACACTAACCATGTGCGAATAGTGTAATGGATATTGGCGAGGGATGTGGAACCAGCGAGCTGAGTTCAAACTCCAACCAATTTAATTGGGAAAGACATGCATCTATATTAACTCCCTCAAGTTATGGGTTAAACAGCAGGGTAGATTGGACTTTATAACCTTCACTGTTAGTCAGACAAATAGAAGGATCGCTTTGAATTCCAGACAATGGAGAAAGCGATGGGTGAAAATACCCCACTATCCATCCCAATAAGACATAGCGAATCGACAGTGTAGAGATCCATACTCGCTTATGTTCGGAAGTTGTGGAGAGCCATCATTCCCTATTTTGGAAAAGGAAGTATGTGTTTCATTTGGTCCGAAGATTACCTGTTATATACGGAACGAGGTAAATAGTAAAGTTACTTATGTAATTATTACAATTAAAAATTTGCATCTATCATAACTGATTTAATTCTAAAGTTAGTTACTAATTGTTTACAGATGGATACTATATAACCATCTTAAAAGCATTGATACTTTAAAATTTTCTAAAATTACTAACAGCTTTCAAGAGGACGTTTCTTCTCAAGTAATCTGGGACTGATTTAAATAGACTGGATCCGCAAATGACTATATTTTAACAGTTCTTTCATACTCCATAACCCTTCAAGACATAGGAGATTATGGATTTCTACAATTTCTTGTTCTTTTTAGATTTAAACAATGTTCATCACCTTATTATGGTCACAACCGGTCCCTTCTCCATCGTCTCTGTGTAGAGTCATTTTCTCCCAACAGCGAAAATGGCTACAAAACATTAACCTGAAAACTCGTCATGTTCTTTCATAGGCTGGTCAGATTGAGGCTTTCAAATGCATGGCGTAGAATCCGTAAAGGAATATCTAAATCTTCATGCGTATAGAACGGCTTACTAAGCTCAATGGTGAAAAGGGGGCTTTGAACGAGTGGAGCTTGAGTGTCTCGTCAAATACTCTCCTTTGAAAATTATGAAGTAGCGAAGAGAAATGTACAAAATAACAGAAATCACATCACTTAAGGATTACCAATATAACAACATCTAAAATGGATAGCACAGTTAACTGGAAGAGAAAAAAAATGACAGAATCAAGATTTTAACATTCCAAACAACTTTAAACTTACGAAGAAAACATCCATCGATAAAAGCTACTAAACGTAAGAAACCTGTTTTCCTAAAATAAGTGTTTTAAGAGAAAGATCTTTATAAATTTCAATCAAGAAAAGAACTGACCGCTCAGTCAGTGAATGCCAAATATTTCCTTGAAGAGAAACGGCTAATATATCGTAAATAACAATTTACACAGGTTGATTAGATAGGCTACAAGCTGTTTATCTCTCTCTTTCTTGCTTTCTCTATGTCCTGTGAGTGTGAAATTCTCTAAAACTACTTTCCGTATTATGCGTCCTAGAGATTTCGACTATATTTTTCTAGTTCTATGTACATGTGTCATTTTCTTTCCCATTTTTCTTAAAACATCCTCAATACTCCCGTGTTCCGTTTATGGTATTCTCAGCATCCTTCTGTGGAACCGTAGATCTGTTACTTCAAGTCTCTTCTCCAACTGTGAGGAAATTGTCCTGCATTGACAACCATATAAAGAAACTGATTTTAAGTAGTAGACTTACGCTTATTTCCTGTTTCTAACGACGTATTCCGGTCGGTAAATAGTTTGCTTAGCATTTGGAAGGCATCTTTCGCTATTCCAGTATATTTAGTTTGTATCTTGGACCTTCCACCTTGTTAACGACAATACATTTTGTATTCGGAAAATCCAAGGAATAATCCGTTCCTTAATGGTTCATTTCCGACGTTAATTTAAATACTTCCGATATTATTCAATTTCTGTACTTACATAATCTCCAATCCGTAACTCGCATCTTGACCTCTACACCTGGTTAAAGAGCATATATTCTTAATATCGGGAGGGATAATCCGTTCCGTACTCTTAAAATTGAGGGATTTCTGCTTCAAATCTTCCGATGTAAATTTAAATATTTCCCAGAATTACATTTCTGTACTTGTTTTATTTCGACGTTCTTCAATTCGTAAATCACATCTTGGCCTCTCCCCCTTGTTAACGACCATATATTCTATATCCTTGCAATTGAGAGATAGTCCGTTCTTCTAGCTCTCCTTTACTACTTTGCCTAGGTGTCCCTGAAGTTATGTTGATGTGTTTATCATTAACAACGTGTCGTGTCATTGGCTTCATTCTTCCTCGTTGCTTACATACTCCGTCCATGTTATTCTCAATCTCCTTCTGTGAAACCTAATTTCTGTTGCTGCAAGTTCCTCTTCGGCTCTGATGAAATTGTCATTCACTGCCATATAGGAGGACTGATCGCCGTTCTGCACTCAGCAAATTTTTCAAACAAAATTTTCCTATTTTTAAATACTCTGTTTAATTTTTGGAAAGTATATTCCGCTATTCCAATGTAACTTCGGATTTCGGTGTCACATTTCCATCATTTGTCCAAACAATTCCCAGGTATTTAAAATTTTGTACTTATTTGATTTTGACGTTCTCCAATTCGTAGCTCGTATATTGAGCTCTCTCCACCCACATTGTTAACGACCATAATAATCTGTTCTGTATTCTTAACATTGAGGGAAAATCCGTTCTGTATTCTTAAAATTGAAGGATAATCCGGTCTGTATTCTTAAAATTGAGGGATTTCTCTGCTTCACATTTTTCTACGTCAATTTAAATATTTCCCGGATAATTCAATTTCTGTACTTGTTTGATTTTGATGTTCTTCAATCGCATCTTGGCGCCTCTTCCCCTTGTTAACGACTATATTTTCTATATCCTTGCAATTGAGGGATAGTCCGTTCTTCTAGCTCTCCTTTCCTACTTTGTCTAGGTGTCCCTGCAGTTATATTTATGTGTCTATCATTAACAACATGTTTCATCGGCTTCATTCGAAGCCCCTTGCAATCGACAATGTTATATATAATCTATCAAAAACTTGTATGCTCTGAGAGAAATGTGGCAGATAATGACAGATATAGGCTTCTGAAATCGGGAGAGAGATTATAGACATGCCGATATTTTCTATCGATTCATTTTAATTAAATCTCCACAAGAATATAGAAACGGGGTGAGAAAAAAAAAAGAAGAAGAAAAATCCGGATATTTTGATGATGCAACTTCCAGTAGCATATAATGAATTCATATAACCGTATATGCATATGAATGAATATATTTGCTTCTGTTGATAAATATTAATTTCATGTATCCGTATTTCGACAGAAAACGTAGCAGCGTACTTTGCTGATTGAATTTTATTACATATTTGCTATAGTAACAACAATTTTTATTACAGACAAAAAAATATCTGTATTCACAACGGGAATACTGAAAGATATTTTGATGAAAGAGGTATTGCTTTTTTTATTTAACGGAAAAACCAAGAGGATATAGCAATAAATAAACAAACAAATAAGTAAATAAAACAAAGAAGAGAATATGAAAATGACCTTTGGATAAAAAACGGGGACTATTATAAGTGGAAATATTAATTTAATAAAAGAAAAGTAATTCAAAGGTCATATATCTCAACAGCTTTTATAAAAATGCAATAACCGCATACACACAAAAAACGTAACGGCATATCCATATAGCGATAATCGAAAAGGGTTTGATTTTAAACTATGCGTATCTAACGGACTCTCCTCGTATCTATCTATCTATCTATCTATCTATCTATCTATCTATCTATCATTATATCTATTCCTCTATCTATCTATCTTTATATCTATCTATATTTATATCTATCTATATCTATCTATCTATCTATCTATCTATCTATCTATCTATCTATCTATCTATTATCTATCTATCTTTATATCTGCATATATTTATATCTATCTATCTATCTATCTATCTATCTATCTATATATATATATATATATGTGTGTGTGTGTGTGTGAGTGTGTGTGTGTGTGTTTGCGTGTGTGTATGTGTGTGCGCGTCTGTGCGCGTGTGTGCGTGCTGATATCCATCTATTTGTAGGAAGGAAGTTCCACTCAGAGAGTTCTTTCATGGAATCAACTCCGGAGATGATACTTTCTTGATCATTACAGTTTTAACTTATTCAAGTCAACCGTTATCTATCCTCCATATCATCATAATCTTCACTTCTTTCCTCTTTTAACGTCCATGCAATAACATCATTCATTATCCTTCTACCTTGAGCCGCTCTTGATCTTTGTGTTGAGTGAACATTTAGTAAAAAATAATTTCACTTGATAATTCTGAATTCACCTCGAGTTACACTTGGGCTTTGCATTGAACGAACATTTAGTAAAAAAAATAATTAGTCGCGAGTTGGCTTCTAACTGGGCATTTTTGCTAGTAGCTTTCTGTCGACAATTGAAAATTATGCAGAGGAAATGACTACAGTTTCTCTGCTGATTGTATGTACTGTATCCATGTTTCTAATTTCGGATGAGTAGTGTTACTAGTACAAACAGCAGTACCATTAAATACTGAAAGTGTGTAAAATAAACGTTTGACCAGGCTGATAAACAAATGCATCTGAGGTTTTGCCTCATCATTTTAAAATTACTCAAGCAAAAGGATTTTGGTAGAAATATGAAATATGATATGGTAGGTTTAGTTTGGTGAACACAATAAACTTTCACTCACGTGAAGCTGCAATAATAAAAAAAAATATACGTCACGGGAAGACACGATATTTGAAAAGTGATGAAAATGACATAGTAGAAAAACAATGCACTTTCGAAAATTTTCCGTCTACTTAAGTTACTTTCCCTTTTAATAAGTGTCACATGCTTTAGATCAAAGTTATGTATGAATCTATTTCTATCTATAGCTAATGCATTTGATAAATTATTGTGTATAAGTTACCTTTTGTGTCCATAAATACGTCTTTTGTAATTTCTGCAAGTTTCCTCAGTGTATTGCGAGGAAAACTTGGGACAGTTTATTTTATGTGCATCGGACTTAAACAACATTTTTAATTTTGTTTATAATTATTGTTGCAAAATAAAAAATAAATTTCTTAAATTTACTTGGATAAAGTCAAATAGAGGACAAAACACGTCAGCTAATTTTTACTTTAGTCTTTATACATATTTTCCTTTTACAGATATATATTTTAGATATATCTGATATTTTACATACACATATGTATATTATTATTTTTATAATAATAAGACTACAAAAATACGTTGAAAACGCTACACAATAGCTTTCGTGTTTCGGCACTATGTTTTGCCTCTTCAAGGAATGAAGCAGTGACAGATGATTAAAATATTTTCAAGAAAATTTCAAAAGCAAAGTGCTACCTCATTTTTTGAAAGATAAAGCGAGGGTGAAGAAAACACAAGGCCTGAATTAAATATTGATAATAATAAGAAGGAGACTTTAATTATCCATTCCGTTTATAATTTTTACTTCTTGAATATCGAGATGTTCATATGATCAGAACGAAAACCTGCTCTGCGAATAAAGAAATTACACCGGGCGGACACTTTAGATTGGTAGTGAGGAGGGAAAGGTGAGAGAGAGAGGGGTTGGGTAAAGATAGGGCTGAGAGATTAGTGGCTAGTATTAGTTGGTTTCTTCAACTAAGAATTCACTCTACACTTTTAAGATTGATTTGCATATTACTTTGGCCGATGCCAATTGTTGTTTTTTATGCAGGATAAATCGGGGTTGATTCAAATTAATTTAATTAAATGGATCTTAATCTAGATTAAATTCGGTGTTAATATGGTAAAACATAAGCATTTGGTTTTGAGCGAAGTCAGTGAAGACATTTATAAGAGGAGTGGAAGGGTTGGGGAAGAGGAGGGTGGGATGGAAAGGCAGGGTAGTGCTAGCTTTAGCAGTTTGACCTGCCTAGATACTTCTTAATTTTTGGAACTATGTAAATGGGTTTATACCGTGGACTGATTGTTAGTACAAATAATAAAGAAATCACAATAATATTGGTACAATAGGTGGGATCTAATGACGTTGGAAATTAATAAACATTAAAAAACAAATACGAAACTTAAAGAGAGAGCTATACATTATGGAAAGTCTGATAGTCAGTAGAGAAATCACAATAATATTGTCAGACTGAACAGGTGGAGACAGCGAATAACTTTAAAGAATTAAGAGGTTAATAGACATTAAAAAACAAATACCAAATTTAAGGAAAAACTATGGATTATGGAAATGTTATAAAATCTGCTATTTTGAAATATATGTAAAGTGTTAAATTCATGTCGTCTGGGTTTGTTTTTTTTTTTAATTTTTGACGTTAACAATAAAATTAAAAAACCACCCAAAAAAACCAAACCCCAGACGGCATGAATTTAACGGATGTCAAAATTCGTTGAAAAATACATCCCCATCCGTACTTAAGATTAACCCCCTTTTCGAACGTAACAAATAACTGATGCAACAAAAGTTAATAAAACTGAAAACGTTACCACCCCTTCTATGGATGATTAGATTTCTCTGTATCCTTGGTAACCGTAAATTATGAATTTTATTTACAGTCCAAAAACTCGCTTGAGGATGAAATGGAACTAATGGTTTTAATTTAATTACAAAATTAAATTTAAAGTTTTTAGCTACCATTTTTGAAACTCGGTTATTACTGTGTAGCGAAAAAACATATTTTAAATCAGTTAATATATATATATATATATATATATATATATATATATATATATAAACACATCTATTTATACAGAGATGTTTAGGTACAGAAATACACATTACTTTCTAATTTATTACCGTTACAACGTTTCATAAGTTTATTACTAACTCTCCAATATTTTATCAAATTAATAACCCAACATATAATTCATGCTTACTGTTTTCTTTCATTGTTCAAATGATTTCTTAATATTTTTATAACATACAAAGCTATAATGCAAATAAAGAATTACAAAAACATTTCTATGAGAAACAAGGAAAATAAATGCGGCATTTCTCTTAGGTGAATGTCCGCACTCACTATTGTATTTGTAATATCTTTTGATGTGATGATGCGTTAATTTCCCTGTTGCTGAAAAAGCTAAACACGAATTTTGTTTTTATATGGGTCTAGCAAGTTAGTTTGGGGACTTATTCTTTGATAATGCTTTTCAATAGTTCATTTAGTCAAAAGGCAGGAAATGAAATTATCTTATTAAAAACTGATCTCTCTCTCTCTCTCTCTCTCTCTCTATCTATCTAAAGCATGCTCCTATCTATCTATCTATCTATCTATCTATCTATCTATCTATCTATCTATCCTCGACTTCTTTCACTCTCCGTCAGATCACACACACACACACACACACACACACACACACACACACACACACACACACACACACACACACACACACATTTGTGCGTTTATATTTTTTGTGAAGCAAGTTAGTTTTGAGCCCTAATCTCCAAGAATCCTTTTCAAAAATTCATTTAGTTCAAAGCGGGGAAATTAAATTATTGTAATAAAATTTATCTTTTTATATAAAATTTCTATCTATATTCGATTTTCTACTTCATTCACCCACCATCAGATCAGATAGACACAGACATAAAAACACACACACACACACGCGTACACACACACACACGCACGCACGCACGCACGCGCGAGCGCGCCTCATGTGAGCTATGTTTTCGACAAAGAAGAGAGTTTGGGGCCCAGTCGGTAAAAATGGGGAAATGAATTGATTGTAATAAAATTGATCTTTTTATATCAACATATTTTGTTCTATCTATCTATCTATCTATCTATCTATCTATCTATCTAAATATAAGCATGTTCGTATCTATGTTCGATTCACTACTTCTTTCATTCTCTATCAGAACTTTCTCACACACACACACACACACACACACACACACACACACACACACACACACACACACACACACACACACACACAAACACACACACACTTCAAATCATATTTTCCATGATCTGCTATTTTTTCTCATATAAGAAGCAATGAATTCGCTGTGCACTCAAAATCTATAAAGATTACCATGCCAAAAAATAGAAGTCTTTTCGATTACACAAGGAAGGATATTTTTCAGTTATTCTTATATTTTCTGTTCGTTCTTTAAGTACGGAAACATCCCTCCCCGTATAAAAAGCATATTAACCTGAATGATGACCTTTACGGTAAAAATATTATACGAAATATTGGAATAATTTCGATAATTTTTTTGTCATGCCCAGGAAATTAAACTCAGCCAAAGCAGCTGTATAGATATATTTCCAAATCACATCTGAAAATAAAGAATTCTTATGAAACATCGTTGAACGAAGATCTAAATGGATCCTGTCTAAAAAAAAAAAATAAAGCCTGGGCATAAAGGAAAAAAAAAACTGAAGTAAAAAGAAAACAAAACATATATGCCGTAATTCGGGGCCACGATTCTGAAGGGGAAATGAATTTAAGTAAAAAAAACAAAAAAAAAAACAACAAAAAAAACAAACAAACAAAACAAAAACAAAGAAACGAAAGAAATCAAAAGAATAGCAAACAGAATCAACTTCGGTAACAAATCAAATTATCCCATCGCCAAATGGATATTGTGTTCTCCATGGCATTTCTTGGGGCAGCGGTTGTTACGTGCCATGCGCATCTGCACTCCAAGTAAAATGCCTTAGATTAAAATCTATGACATGATATCAGCGAGTCAACTTTTCAAGTCCAGGGTCAATCGTTATCAATTCCCTTTATACTCATGATCTTCACTTCCTACAACATCTTCTTTCATTCACATCGTACGCTATTTATCATTAACATTTTAACAGTAATCCTCTATTTTGAGTGTTCTCGAGCCTTGTGTTGGGTGAAGTCTAGTATAAAGAAATTCAGAAACGGATTGTTATCCAGGACCTGACTATTGGCACGAGTGAATTCACGAACTCACGGTGTTAGTGCATTTCTTAAAAAAAATCACTCATCTAAGTTATGAGTATAAATAATAAAAAGTATAATTTTAATAGTAGGGAAAACTGGTAACTATCGACATTGTCTCAGCCGATATTTGAACTCTGATTGTTGAATTTATTTTCTGTTCTGTTAATCTTTCCTCCCACCGGCAACTCCTATTTTATTTTTGTTATCATCCATTTGCCCAGTCCTTTGCAAGACTCAGGTCTTACTCAAAGTATGTTACTTAATAGGTCTTACTATGTCTACTGTATTAAGATTAGTTCTTCTCAAAGACTGTATGCCATAATAAGGCTAAAGTAACCAGTTTACCTTACTAATTTGCACTTAACTGGGGGAGGATGGACTTATGTCTTTCCGATTGCCATAGCGAGAAGTAGCTGTAACAGCTTCGGCAGTAACAGCTTCGAACTCTGTTTTCGATGCTTCGTACCAGTAACTGCTAAGTCACCCACACTTAATCCCTAATCTCCCTCCTCTATTTTCTCACTCTCTTCCGGCTTACGGTCACATCATCGTTGAAACAGCGGTTCCCATACGATCACCGAAGTTAAGTAACGGCGAGTATCTAGCTGGGTCACCGCTTGGGAAAACCAGGTGCTATAAGCATGAAAGTGCGGATGGTGTAATGTATAATGACTCAGAATTGTTAATAGGAGAACCGCGATCTAAATCCGTTATATTCACTTAGGTGCAAATATTATTGGGAATGTTATGAATGCACCTCTTCTCCCGATAGCCAAGGTTTAATTAGTAAGACTTTTATCATTAAACCATTATTATTCTTATAATCTAAAAATAATTATGGCTTTAAATAATCAGTAAAGGGTTGATAATCACTCACAAACACTATCTACCGATCACTCGCCAGTTCTATCTATCGCTGTCTATTCATTATATATATTTTTATCTACGTCTTTTCATTATCTATGTCGATTTATTATATATCCATTTATCTAAGTCTATTATATCTGTCTATATTTCTGAGATGAGGTACTCTAATAATTTCACAGCCGAAACAACGTGAACATGACAGTAAAGATGAGGATAACAATCTGAACAATCAAAATTAAGTCGATCTATCTATCTATCTATCTATCTATCTATCTATCTATCTATCTAAATATAAAAGTGAACACTGAAGTCAACACTTAGAGGCGACGGTCTGTTTCATGCTAGACGCAATCGTCAGGCCACGAGTGCTGTGTATTTTTTTCGGCTATTTATATATACAGGTCAGTGGTGCATTGTGGGTAGTCTATTGTGACGGTTATTTTGCTGCACTCGTGTCCTGACGATTGCGTGTAGCATGAAACAGAATGTCATCTCTAAGTGTTGACTTCATTGTTCACTGTATATTTAAACACGCTCTATCTCTGATATTAGGCACTTTATCGTATAAATCTAGCGCACCTTAAGACTATATATATATATATATATATATATATATATAATTAAATATAATTATCAAATCCTCCTACTAATTACTACCTGTGTTTATCATCGCTTGAACCGGCTTCTAATGCTCCAGTTGGTAGCGGCTTGGTGAGAGTAGTCGTGGCTTCAGGGGGCACAGTCCTATGGTTACATAGCCACGGAATATGCGAGCGATCGACGCTAAGTTAAGTCTGATTTGGAATCTCTTTGTCACCGAGGCCCATTTGGAACAGTTGGTATGATGTTCGCTTGACAACCTAACTGTCAGGGTTTTAATTCTCGGTAGTGGATGCGCACTGCTGATGAGTCCCAAATATAGGACGAAACGGTCGTCCAGTGCTTTCTGCATTCTGTTGAGGTTTCTATCAGACTCGATGAATTAATCAATATATATATATATATATATATATATATATATATATATATATATATATATATATATATATATATATATATATATAAACACCAGCATTTAATTATGTGCCTTGTCCCAACGATGACAAATCTTTAGAAATCTATAGAAATAAAGAATTTGCATTTGATACAATTGAACGTAACGCTGGCCTCGCTATTCACCATAGATAATTATCACACAATTCAAAATTCCATTAGTGTTGTATAAAAGTGTATTGGAATTTAGGCAATGCAGAGTCAATATCAATTCCATAAGTAGGTCGCAAAGATAAGAATAATGTAGAAATCTAACACATTCATCAGTTTATTTACACATCGCTTCGAGCAATAAGCTATAAAATATTCTTTTAACTTATACACTTTAATAAATCTATCATTCGCCTGCACATTGAAGATTGCTGCTATATCTGACCTGGTACTCTCGTCAACATCCAAAGAAGGGGTAATCAGTTTTTACGTGACATCTCAACCAATCACTTTCCCACCGCTGTGACGTGCGTTCGGTCATATATTCATAGTAATTGTTCTAATGAACTCCCCCTTTGGTACCTCGGCCGCATACTACTAGATCTCAACGCGTTACTGTTGAAATAGCTAGATGTAACCGTAAGGTTTATTCTAATAGTTTCATTTCTCGCACTGCTCACCTGTGGAAGCCTATTCTTGCTTCTCTCTTACTTATACAAGAATTTAAAAGTAACATCAATTGCCATTTTCTGTCTCCCTGAAAACTATGTTTTTACTCCTTACTAAAGGTTTTCTGCTGGCGTCTTAGAGGCATTTAGAGTGAAATGATTGAACAAAAAAAATCTGTAACACTAAAATAGATACATTCTGACACTTTTACAAAAAAAAGTTCTCAGCCCGACTGCAAAATTTTGATGCATGATCAGATATTTTTGGTGGGGGAGCGGGATTGAATCAGCCTGACCGAGAACTTTTCAGCACAGCTTCGCATAATAGCATAAATATACATGCACGCATTTTATTTTATTTTCTTAAACTTAAGAAATTAATGTTAATCGATGTAGCTCAAGAATTACTACTTGTGTCCCCTGACTGGTATCAAACCTGTATTCACTTCGGGATTTCTATCATGAGGAACATAAGCTTGAGTAAGACATATCAGCCTCGGTCAGTTTATGTTAATATCACTGTTTCAGAAAATGAAATAAAAAAATACAGGGATGTTAATTCAAACACGAATATCTGCTATAAATAACGCGTATCGTAATAATAAATAATCATATTAAAATATTCACTAATGCGCGCACCCCCCACACACACACACATATATATATATATATATATATATATATATATATATATATATGATGCAAATATAGTTTTAAGGTATGCTATATTTATAAATTAAAGTGCTCAGTATCAGGGATAGAGAGTGGACATTGAGGCCAACACACAGTAGCGGCAATCTGTTTCATGATAATGCGCAATTTCCCTCTCTATATAAATAAAGACAAAAGGAAAGCTTTACTGACGCGTTTCGTTCTCTGATGGACATTATCTAGGCAAATATAGGGATTTTTAATTTGCAATAAGTATTTATAAACATAAAAAATATCGTTAGCCTTGCGAATGTTTATGAGCGTTCTTAAAATTAAAAATTTTGAAAATCTAATGATATTTTATATTTTACTTAAATTTTAACTTTTACAAATGCAAAAATATCTCATTTTAAACAGTTGTTACAGAAACGTTTTGCTTGTAATATACTTTGGAAATATCTTGAATTTATGGATACAACTTTCAATGCAATCTATGTTAAGAAAGTTATTTTATGACAGCTTACCTTTTTCGGTCAACACGTTCTCTTACTTTATTCGTTAATATTAAATTTCCACTTACCTAAATGAAGAAAGTCAAATGCAGATGTTATAATATTTTCAATAATAATGCAAAAAGGAAAAATTAAAGATTATGACGAATATAATTATGACACCATCAAAATGACACCTGTCTTTTTATTAATTAAATAAAATAAATAAATATAGTAAACTGATAAATTTATATAAATTGGAAATATATATATATATAAACACATAAATTCAAAATTTACACATATAATAATATGCTTGCATTTTTATCTTTTCTAATTACCGATCATTATTGGTTCTGTACACTATGCCTCTTTGTACATATAAATATTTTTCTTTTATCTGCTGTGCGTCTTCAGGACGTGGGCGATTATGTCCCTCCGCACCCTCCTGACACTTGTCGCTCTTAAGTTTAGTCTTTTTTAAAAATTTTTCCAAGACCCTGTTCTGCCTTCCAATTTGCACAAGCCCATTAAATATGACACGCGTTGCTTTCCCCTGTCTCTCTTTCCCTATATCCGTCCTGTGATTATCAGATTTTCCAAGCCCCCCCTTCTTCCTTACGTGTCCCAGAAATTTCACCTGCCTCTTCCTGATATTAAATATAAATTTCTGCTTTGTTTCCATTCTCTCCAAAACCTCGTCGTTGCTTACCTGTTCGACCCATGGTATCTTCAGCATCTTTCTGTTGCTTTGAGTCTCTTCATCTTTGAGGAGATTGTGCAGCATTCGCTGTCATTCAGGAGGACACGTAACAGTTCAGTACTTTTTTTCTTTGTTTCGAACGATACTTTCCTATCTCGTAAGACACTGCTTAGCTTTTGGAATACGTCTTTGGGCAACCAAATACGTCTTCGGATCTCAATGTCGCACTTTCCGTCTTCTGTTATAACCCAGATATTTAAGTTTCTGTACCAGTTTGAATTTTGTAACCCCAACCTGTAATTTGCATTGAGGAATCATCTTTTTGATGATGGACATGCATTCTGCTTAGCCTCTTTTTCTCGCTCTCCTTCGCTACCTTCGGTAGGAGGTTTTGTAGTTTCCTTTCCATAAACTCTTTCCTCGTTAACAGATAAGTGGGGTGTCTAGGATTTTTTTTTTTTTTACTCTCCGGCGCACAGGTACGTTTGTGTGGGGGCATATAAATAAATGCATCTAAATTCATCTTTATCCCTACCGTGTGCCACTGGCTTAGGGTTAAAATCTCCGAGGCAATCGGATGTCCAGCTACACTGATGAGCTGTGAAACAGCGAAACAGCCTGTCAGTACATAACAATATAATAATATATATATATATATATATATATATATATATATATATATACAAGTATAGGATTGGTGTATACGGAATAAGTTCCAATAACCAACAATTACTATTCTTAAAAGAGTGCTCAGTACAGAGTAGAGCGAATATAATTATTCATTCGAAAATTATAACATAAATATTTTATAAAATCACTACAAAAATAGCCATTAAGACACCAGAGGCGTTGAAACAAAATGACTATATTTGTAGTGATTTTATAAATATATTTTTTTCGAATAAATAATTATATATATATATATATATATATATATATATATATATTCAGATATTGCTTAAAACTAACTCAAAGCATGGTTCGTACTAAAACATCCACGCACTCTCTCTCCCCCTCTCTCTCTCACTCTCTCTCTCTCTTCCACTCCCAAACATAAAATATACTTAGTCTGTGAAAGCAATTTCGAAAACCTTTCCCGTTCATAGGGGAGAAATGTTCATTAAACTATCTCGCTTGCCCATTGCATTTTGGTAGTGGGTTTACAACTGCTAGTATTCCCAAACGGTTGTCCATCTAGGTACTAACCAGGCGCAATGTTGTTTAAATTCGGTGATCGGATCAATATCGGTGTTTCGACGTGGTATGGCCGTAACATAGAAGATTCGACGAACACAGAATAGATTTCTGTGAACAATAATAAATTAAATGCATCGGCTGTTCCGTGTAAGAACCATAATCAAAATTTTGATCAGAAAAAAAAAATAATAATCAAAAAAACAACCTCCCTCCACCCCCAAAAAAAAAAAAAAAAAAAAAGTAACCAAAACGCATCTCTCATCGAGTATGACAATAATAGCGTGAAATTATATTAATTTACGAAGCGAAAACAATAAAACTTCATCCCGGATGTCACCTATTACGTCGAAAATTAACAACAAAATATTAATGGAAGCTTTTTAGTAATAATAAATATTACATAATCATGATTGAATTTTGCAGATATAACATGCAATACGGGGCATCTCATCGTGGCGTAATGGTTAATCAGCTTGTTTCGCTAAAGTAGTTATGAGTAAACAGCGAGTTCGATCCTCACTCGGTACCGCATACTTTCGGCCTTGTTCCACATCTAAGCTATGCTTAGAAAGTCAATATGGGACACCTCGGGGCGGTGTAATGGTTAGCAAGATTGTCTCGCTAGAACAATTACGACTGAGTAGTGAGTGCGATCCTCAATGGGTGCTCTATACTTTCGATCTTGTGTCATATCTAAGCTCTGCTTGGAAAATCGTGACAACATGCAATGCTGGACAGTAGTACTCAGCGATATATGTAATTTACTTTTATCCTTACTTATCTCTCTTATCTAAAGATCATTCCGCATGCTCCTGAAAGTAGTGCGTCGTCGGTGCGATGTTTTTTTACAACAAAATTTCAAGAGTTAGAAAAAGCCCCAAATTGAGCGAAACGCGTCGCAGAAAAATTAACAGTTAGGCCACTTACTAATCTCATACATATGTAAGTATATAATCAACGTAAGTATATAAATCATTTGTAAACTAATAAAAGAAAGCATTTATTGTATTCAAATATACTTATTTTTAAATTCAAATTCATTTATTTATTAATTCTCTTTAATTCATTGTAAATATGTTGCATATAAGTCAATGTACAGTGAATTCTATTACATAACAATTCAGATATTAGCAAAGTATGTTCTTACGGGCTTATTCCTCACCTTTCATCTATTGCATTATATCTATTCTTTTATTTTAATAGTTCTCAGGCATATTGCGTGTCCCGTTGTAAGTTTTTGATAATTTTTGTTGGATATCTTATCAAGATACCAAAAACATTTCTGAATAAAACATTCTTGGAATTTGTCAGTGATATTAAATATCTCCAAGAGTTTCGTTGCTATTCGCGTATTAAACTGCGTAGCATGCATTTTCAAGAAAGAAATATAATATTTATGAGTAGAAAGAAAACAAAGCATGTAACTTCTAGCAACGAGTTACGACATCCACAGGTAACCGCTGTAAAGAATTACAGTCCGTCAGAGACGCTCTATGTAGGCTCTCATAAGAGAACAGTATTTCACTTACTGGTACATTAAGCTAATGTGCACTTATACAGAAAATAGATTCATTCAGTTTTGTCGGTTACATAAACACCGGGCCGGACTTCGGCGCATGCGCTTAAGTGCATATAATTCATAGCTACTTTCACTTTCTGTTTCGCCTTCGCCTTCGATCTTGTCGTTTGTTTTGATCGCTACCACTTCCGCTATGATGAACTGGGAATGCATGAAGACGATGGCAAGTTTAATCTAAACAGTGGCACGTTCTCTATGCAGTTGACATTTGTACTTGATTTACGAATAGAATTTAACATAAGACTTCGCTATAACCAAGTTAGGTTGCTTAGGAAGGAGCAATATAATACGATGTTCTATTAATGTTAAGATTCCCGTAATCTAGTTACGTACAAACAGGCATACATAGATAAATGTACATCTATGCATATTATTATATGAAGTCTTTTATGCGTAGGTGTATGTAGTAGTATTAGCAACATGATGTATTTAACATTCTAAATACGCATACAATTTTTCCTTTTTCAAGCAACAATCTTCTGCTGCATAACTATGGTCTTTCTGTGCATACACACACACACTCCACACTTTATATATATATATATATATATATATATATATAAATATGTATACACATATACATATATACTCCATCCATATACACTCGGCAATTCATATATATATATATATACGCCATGCATATGCACTCTTCACTCTTCTGTGAACTTGTAGTATTGAGGAGGTATAACTCTGTGATGATAAAACCTGAGGGGTGTCGTTCATTGTGTTCGTGGCAAATATTTGCGCCAACTTCTTGTTATCAGCACTTTCAATAAGTGTGCCCGATTCTACACAAGCCTTCCACGTAAGCAACAAGTCCACTGGCGAGAGAGTTAAGGCGTCGGGGACAGGTACAAGATTAAAAAAGCTGAACTGAAAGACACTCATCCGTCGAAACCGACGGAAGACTTCATCATCATCATCATATATATATATATATATATATATATATATATATATATATATATATATATTGTGTATTTGGGCAGCAATCACTCTTTTATAGGAGTTACATTAAATACGACTGACAAGATATAGCAATTAAGGATTTGATTCCATTTTTGTTGTATTCATATATTTTTTCTGGACATAAAGCTGTTCAAATGTTCCATATATCCGTGCGCTTTCGCCTATTTTATCAGCCATTATCAAGGATTTTAAAAAAATTTTTAACTGAACATGTAGATTTTTATATATGTTTATCTATAGTAATGGTAATGTTTTTTCATTTCCAAACATGTTCAGTACTACGTGGCCGTGTTGATAGTTGATATTATTGAGTGTTGCCTTTTATTTATTATTAATGATTCCATTATTTTGGTCATTATTTTTCATATGGATGAGGCTACTACAGTCGTATTTTCTACGAGTGTGTTGCAAACGGATTTTGGTAGGTTTCCATGTGTGTTTAAGTGGGTTAAAGTCTTGAAAATATTTTCAGAGGGATGTAAGATGAGAATTCTTGATAGACATGTAGTTGTATGTCTAATATAATTATTCATGAATTTGATTTGATCATGAAAGGATTCCTTAAGGGGCATGTAAATCCATAAATAATATTGGTACTCTGTAATTTGGATCTTGCAGGTTAGTTGCCACTAGAATGCAAGAGGTTTCAGAGAGAGACAAATACACAGGCACACAGAAAAGGTAAGTTGTAAGTGTGTGCGTGTGTATGAAGTGTAATAATATTTAATCATATAGAGTTTGTTTTTTTAAAGTCTTTTTTCTTAAACATCAATATATTCATATAGCCATTTTTTCATGTGTGCTTTTGTTACAAGTATTGATATGCATCTAACTGAAATTAACATACGATTTCATCTGTGCACGAAATCTCTCCGAATCATATCCAAGAACCAGTTGCGCGGTCTTGAATTTAATCTTGCTTTTCATTCAGCAACAGTGAGCTTTGTCTACTGTGTCACCGTTGTATTCATATTGATCGAGCAGAGTTTTCACTTCTGGCTTTTCTTAAATCTAAAACACTGTTTTAACTTCCAGGATGACCTTACGTAGAACGTGATAAGAACCCTGATATTGAGATCACTTGTAGATGATTTTGAGAAATAGATTGGTTATATATATATATGAAGTCCCAAAGGAAGTACTTTCAACAGGATAAAAGTTCTACTTCCCAAAGTAGGCTAATTTAATATCTTAAATGGTTGACTGCTTTTTGGTTAGGCCCGTTATTGACAAGGGCTTCGTATTCTTTTCCATCAATATTTAATGAGATATAATTTACTTCACAAATTAAATATATAGATAGACATTTTAAATAGGAATATCGTAAAATATTATAATCTGGGAAATATATAGAATAAAAGCAATATTATATGGATACATCGTTTCAAGAAAATGCACTTATAATCAAAAAATTTGATATATTTCGATTTTTAATTATTGATAAATACTGGTGCTTTATATTTGAATCTCCAAGCATTTATTTGTTTCGGGGATTAATCAAATACTGGTGATTTCTATTTGGGCTTCCAGGCCTTTACTTTGTTAAAAAAGAGGCAAATATTGCTTGTTTATATTTGAGTCTCAAAGAATATATGTGTTTCGGGAATAAGTAAATATTGGTTCTGGAGCATTTTCGATTTTTTTTTTATTTCGGAAAGAGGCAAATGTTGGTGGTTGATAGTTTGAGTCTCTAACACTTTACTTGTTACTTTATTTGTTTCGGAAACAGATAAATATTGGTATTTAAGATTTTAGCATATACTTATATGCTAAAATCTTAAATACCAATGGAGACGCTATGTAGCTTAAATAGTAGGACATATTTAGTTCTATAGCTTTGATTGGCACTAGACTACTGTAAAAAGTCACTGCAAGAATTCTTCAGCGAAGTTTATCATATAATAATATATATTACTCGAGGATTCCTCCCTTTAAATAGCATGCATGATGATAAACTTCGCTGAAGAATTCTTGCAGTGACTTTTTACAGTAGTCTAGTGCCAATCAAAGCTATAGAACTAAGCATGTCCTACTATTTAAGCTACATAGCTGGGGAGATGGAGTTTCCAAGGGTATCTGTGCGTAGGTGAATTTAACGAAATCAACCGGGACTCGAACTCGCTTATTCGTGTTATTATTCCGAGCCGTAACCCATTACAACTAGCGTCTCCATTGGAGAATAATTGGTTTAATTGATGCTTTATATACAAGTTTTTACGTATAGGTGAATATTGTTGCATTAATCTTCAGTCTTATTTGTTTCGATAAAGGTAAACATATGTGCTTCGTATGAGTGTCTACGCATTTGTTTCTTCAATAGGTAAATGTTGGTGGTTTATTTCAGAATATCCAGCCATTTAGTAATAGTATAAAAGAAAATATGACAGTATACAAGAAAATACAACAGAAAAGATTTGAACAAAATGGCAGACTTAGTCTTGTAATGCTTAATGTTCGTGACAATGTTTGATAACGTTTAGAAATCTTTGTTATATTTCCAAAGGAATCCTCCAGTTTCCATCAATTGC